GTTAATCTAAGCTATAAATCGATATAAATTTTATTTTTATTATTATGTAGGATTTTGAGTAAATTTGAGAAACAAAAATTGATATTGCAATTTTCGTCGAATTTCGGATTATTTTAATTAAAATTTTTTTAGATGTTTTGAGTATCAAAATTTACATGCATATTCATCAAAACCTAAGCTACATTTTGATAAAATTTTATATGTAGTAATTATGCGTGTTTTTGTGTAATTAGTAAAAACAGGTGTCCGGATACTTTTGTCCAGGGAGTGTATATGGCCAAGGGAACATGATAGTTACCATATCAAAGACAATTACACTTTTTTAAATCAAACACCTAGATTTCATGATTTTTAACATACTTTTTTAATTTATTTCTAAAAATTGATCTTGACGAGAGAAATGCAAATAAGGAAAGAAGTTGCATAGTTCAATCTTATATTAGTGTTAAAAATAAAAATAAAAATAAAATGGAGAAAAGAAGAATTAGAAGACTAAAATTTGCAGAACTTCGTAGAGCAAGAGAAGAGCGTAGGCAAGTATTTAGGCATGTCTCATAAGAACAAATTAAAAATCATGTTTTTGGAACACAGAAAACAAAAGGAGAAAATGCATACGTTTCCAGAAAGAAAATGAACAAAAAAATTTTACAATATGTTTAACGTCATGAAAGAATCTATTAAAAATGATTTAATTTAGAAATGGACACTATTAATAGAGCAATTGACAATAACAGTGAAATTAAGAAAAATGGAATAGAATATATAAAACATTTCGTTGAAGAAATAGTAAGTTTAAACAAAAACTTCTGCTTATCAATTGCTTGTTATACGTTTCTAAAAATCTAACTTTTATATTAATCACATTCCCCTATTATAGGATAACAATGGTGTCAATGATGTCGTAAATATTTTAAAGACATTCTATTTATTAATTTATTCGTTTTATATTTTGGGACCAAGCAATCAACATTTACAGGGTTTGATAATAAAATGAGTAATGATGGTAATAGAATGAATGATAATGGTAATGAGTGATAATGGTAATTGTTGATAAGAGATTTTTGAGAGAAGTAATTCTTTATTTATGGTAAAAAAGCCGAAGAGTTTATCATATCAGACCATGAAGGCACAACTCTGATGCTGCAACATTAGGCGAAATAAGTAAATATCAAAAAACCACAAATCTGCTAAGTAAATTACCGTTTTCAAAAATAGTAATCAGAATAATAAACTAACTTATTTTATTATTACAACCATGTTGATATTATTGGGTGTTCCATTCAAATAATCAAAAGCGATTGGTCCCGTAGTGGAGTTGGTGTATCTTGGAATACTATCAATACTAAAAATATGTATACATCTATTCCGTCAGACAAGAAATTAGAAATGATACGTGTGTTTTAAAGAATTCTTAAGTCAACTTGGATCAATCCTTGGTTGGAGTTTTTGGGCATGTCAACTTTTTCCACAAAGAAGACTATTTCTCCAAGCATTGAACAAGAAACCGTTGGGAAGTCGGTAGTAACAACAGAATTATTATCACATTTGAAATAAAAAGGTGAATTAGGCTGGTGGATATCCACGCTGAAACAATGGAATGGAATATATATTTGTTTGAAGAAACAAAATGGTCACTCATCATTAGACAATTTTTACATAGATACTTCCTCCTTGTGGATAGGTGGGTATTACATATGGGAACTTTTACACGGGAAATTCTGAGACGAATTTAGAAATAATATACAAGTTATTAAGGAATGTACTAATATGTGTTGTGCGTTTCCGTGAAAACGTTTAGTAACTTCTGGCCTAGACGGAGATTCATCATCCATACAAACTCACAGCTAAACATTATAGCATTAGGAGGAGAATCACAGCCAAACATTGTAGCATTAGGAGGAGGGGCTTGAAGCAACACATTTGTACGTAATATGATAAATATGGTTTTTTGCTCAACAATCTATACACTCTTTTGAGATTGGAGTATGTAGATGCCAAAGAGGACACTAACTGCTGATAGCCTATCAAGGGGTCAAGCAATACGAGTCACACAAACAAGACCCAACTTGAACTTGCTAGCCACAAACAGGTCAAATTCACAATAGAACATCCATTTATCTCCCCTTGGGACTACTGTATAGATAGACATATTAATATACTATATATAATATTATATACAATTATAAATCAAGAACATTGATTTAAAAAAAAAAAAATTTTTTAATTATTTATATATTTTAAATTTTTTTTAGGTATTACATGATTGAATTGATAAAATATATAATTTTTAAACATATTATAATAGCGAAGATTATATAATATATATATAATAAAAATTAATTATATAATATAATAAATTAATTATAATATAATAAAAAAATATTTATTTAGCAAAAACTATTGTCGCTTTAATTATTCTTCCAAAGGTTGATATTGAGGTGTTGTATCATGTGGTGATACTTTACGTGGTGGTACGTCTGTTTTATTATTATTATTAATGGGAATATTATAATAATTATCTGCTGGATCAATTGGTTTCGTTCGCCAAGTTTCTTTATTTTGATCATGTCCCGTATTATTATTGTTGTTGTTGGAATTTCCGCCAGTAAGAATATTAGCGGCGTTGCCAATGATGTCCTTATTTGCTAGACCTTTAATATTGGTATTGATATTACTGGTTAGATTACTAATATTGGAATTAATATTGGATTTTTGTCGAAGTTTTGAAACTTGAACTTGAAGTCGTTGAATACTATCTTGTAAAAGTTGAACAGCTTCTTTCAATTTTTCGGTAATTGTGGCTTCAAGTTGCTTTTTAATCTTGTTCTGAGCCAATGGAGTTAAAATTTTATACAAGACACTACAAAAATAAAAAATATGCATATTCATCAGAAAAAATAATTCTCTTTTTCCCAGATTAAAAAAATACACATCACTTACTCATGTTTTGATTGGTGTATACGAAGTTTGAGGCTTTCAATGGTAGTTTCTGCTTCTAATACATTGAATCGAAGATTTGGATGGTCTTTTGTTGGCGCTTCTAACAATAATTTTAGATAAAACCTTAAACCATTATTTGGAATGGAAAAGTCGACTAATCCTAAATCATTCATATTGATCACTCCTTTCTTCTTCTTGTAATAAAATGCAATGTTACGTGCATCAGCACGGATTTTAGAACTAATTTATTTAAACAGGAATAAAATAAATAAATTAGTTGAAATCGATTGATTAAAAAAAATTAACGATTAACGACGAATAGTAATTACATACACTTCAAAGAAGGCATAATTTTTTATTAGACTGGTGGATTCACGATCTAGATTAATATCTGATGTTAAGCTGAGGTGAGCATGACTTGGTAAAATTTCTGGTAAGTGAAGAACCATATTATCAAAAGCGAAATCATATTCATCATCTGAATTTTCAATTCTTGGAAGTGGTAAATATTGCAACTGAGTGGTAATAACAGGGATGATTTTTGCAGCATCTTTAATGAGCTCATATTTAATTGTTGGACTTCCACTTTCATCCAAGAAAAGATCAGTAATCAAATTATCGAAGTCTCTTCTCCACTGAGCAGTAGTTGGATCGTTTTGGATTGCTTCATTGAAGGAATTAGCTTGTCTTCGAACATTTTCACTTTGTTCACGATATTTCTCTAACAAAATTTGTCTACCAGTGGTAATCAATTCTGATCCAAACTGTGTGTAATCTGTATTCTGTACGAATTCAGTGTCGTGAAGTGAACTGCCAATAAATTGTCGAACTTCTTTGAAATAATCACGTAACTCTTGATCATTTTTCATTTGTCTACCAAATTCTCTGATTGAATCAATCAAAGGATCGAGCGATTGATTAGCAAATTTCTCAACAATATCTTTGGCATTTTTAGTGGCAATTTGTATGGAATCATTTTTATTTATTTCTTCTCGAGGGACAGCCAAATTATCAGATAAATGTTGAGTAAGTTCTTGAGTTTGTTGTGAAAGTTGGGAGATCAAATCCATTAATTCACTAATTGCGTCTTGATACTGTTGATTTTTGTGTGCTTCAATCATGACATTTTTAAAGCGATTCACCAATCGATCACGTTCTTCATCGCTAAGTTTACGAACGGAGACATTTTGTTGAACAGAAGATTGTAATGATTTTACACCACCAGTGGTAGCTTCTTTTAACGATTTTTTGCCTTCACTAAAATCTTTAATATGTTCGCCACCAATGTTTGCAGCATTCTTGGCTAATGGATAGGCATTTTCCCGTAATGTTTGTGAAGTTCTGTCTGCAGTTTCCCTTGCATTTTGTTGAATTTCCATCTTTGTTTGGTCAGGATCTTGAGCATGGGATCCCTGCATGACGATGTTATTATTATCATCATAATCATTTTGATTATCATTTTGATTATCACTTTGGTTTGGAAGATTTATGCTAACTACTTCTTGAGCAATCGAGTTAAGATCATTGAGTAATGCACGAAATTCTGGACTTGACATAACAAGACTAGGGATTCTAAGGATTTTTTGGTAAGCACTTTGGGCTGTTTGTGATGCATCTCTTTGTGCAGCTGAAGTTTCTGTTCGAACTTTTTGTTTAAAATCACCTGGAATAGACGTATTATCTGTTTTTTGTTTTTTTTTTTTTGATTTATTGTGTAAACAAATAAAAATAAATAACAAATTTTGAACGGGAAAATAATTTACGAGTATTATTTTTTTTATTACATACCATTAATATCTTTTGCGCCTTGAACACCATGATAAACGATATTTTGTAATTGGTTGCCAGCATTTTTTTCTTCGAGAACTCTTTTTGTACTTTCTAATAATTTTTCAGTATCAGCTAATATGCGTTTACCCAATGGGGTCACGCCATGACCAGCATTATGGAGTTCGTCAGAATTTTGAATCTTATCAATGGTTTTGGTGATTTGTGCTGTTGATGGAAGTTTTCCATCCCTAAATCCAAATAGAATAATAATAATAATAAAATGGATTATTAGATGAAGGGGAGAGAATTGGATTAATCAATAATTTAATTTAATTATTTGTTTAATTACTTCAAGGCTCCGACGACCTGTCCAGTTCTATCACGAGCCTCAAGTGCCTTTTTTTCAGCGGCATCGCGTGCAGGATCATTTTGAGGTGGTAACCCAGACATTGTTTTTTAAATTTTAAAAAAAAAAAGGTTTGGAATATTTATTTTATTAATTAAAAATTTATAATTTGTTTTTTTAATAATTTAATTGCTTGGATTGATATTTTTTGTTTTCGAAATTTTGTGAATCTTGGTGAATTCTTTTTGATCTATTTATATATGAAATTTTTATTTCTCGTAAAGTAACCATCATCATCATAATATCGTAATAATAATAATAATAATAATAATAATAATAATAATAATAATAAAGATTTACTTACATAATAATATTTTTCTTCTACGTAATATTTTCGATTATGATATAATGATGACGATGGTATGACTAACCTTTTTATTATATATACTAAAACGTGACTTCTAGAATTATTTTTTTACAGATTTTCCGTTACACGAGGACAAAAAATTTATCAAACAGGCTTGAATTCATATAAAAAAAAAATCTTCAAAATATAATTATTATAAATGTTTGATTAACCCCAATATTGGTTGATATTGTGCCAAGAAGGAATTGTAGAAACCTATAAAATATATCAAATTACCATTGACCAAACAACTCTTCAATCAGAACGGGAAAAAATATCATTAGAGATTAGACTGATTTACTAATTTCGAACATATTATTTAAAATTAATTTACCTTAAGGACAAACAAAAGTGGGGAAAAGGTGGTGTGACCTTATTTGGATGTAATTGAAAAATTTAAATAAATTTATCCAAAATTAAAAAATATATTAATTTTACTGTATTTATTACTTCCAGGGCAAGTTATTATAATATTAGAAAAACCGAAGGTTAAACGTAAAATACAAAATTTTTTATATAAAATCCACAGGTATTATAGAATATATATTTCTCTTAACGGAACTTTCATGCAAAGATGCTCGATTAGATCAATTACTAATATTAAAGATACAATGCCAATGAATATATTACATGATATTTGCTTTTGAGTAACACTATTTTTCGTGTTATTGAGGAACAATTAAAAAATTTATTCAAAACCACAATAATTGAGGGTTTAGTTGTTATGATTAACTAATAAATTTCGCAATGTTTTTTGACGTAGTAAAGTCAAAATAATTTTGATCGACTAACCAACTATATCAGATTAATAATTCCAAAGAAGGAAAAAGCTTTCTTATAAAAGTGGAAGAATTCAAAAATCAAAGATATTTGCAACTTAATTAACAAAAAAAATTATTCGGTTTGATTAATCCAAAAACAGCATGTTATTTATTCAAGCAACCATATGTTATATTTCAATAAAATTCTAGATGGGTAAATATATAAATATATAAATATATATATATATATATATATATACATACACAATTAATGATAATGAAATGAATGAACACACTAATTTTAAAATAAACTATATTTCTATACAATAAAGATCATAATACTAATTATCCACATATTCGAGGCTCCCATGCACGCAGTTTTCGGAAAATGATTACTTTATACAATTTTAGATTGATTTTAGAAATGCAACCTTCGGCGATCTTCCATATACAAAAAAAATTTTTTATATAGCATAAAAGTATTATTCTGTAGAAATATACTAATACATCCGCTTAATAAATCCACTTATCTGCAGAATTAAAATCATTTTGTAAATCAACATCTATAGTTAAATGGACTTTACTATTCCTCTATTTCAAGGCAAATTTAAAACAGAAACGGATAGAAAATAAATCGACCTGGACAATCGATGATTGAAGTCGAGTGCCCTTTTTCAATCTCCCTGTCCATTTGAAAATTACATAAAATTTGACGGTTCTATAACTTCTTGTATAAATTATTATCATTACAATTTTCAACATCGATTTTCGAATCGAGCAATATTTTAACTCGGAACTCTCCAGGTATGACTGTCGTATCCTCATCTATATTACTCGGAAAGATGCAATAAATACATGTCAATTTGATATCGCAGTAAATACTAATAACGTTTAAATGAGTTGGCTTCCGTATTTCTATTTGAATATTCGCCAATCATAAATATTGATGTCTCAAAAACAGACGCTATTGTATTTTAGTTTATAACTTTTTTAATTATGTGTATTAATTCTTTTCGAGAAAGTAAATCATTATATTAATAATTTATTTACGTGTAAAAATAATATTTATATATATTATAATTATAATTATATGATATGCTGTGAATTGAATGCAAAAAAATAAGTAAAAAACAAAAGAAACATCCGAATTTTTGTAATTATCAAAAGAAATAAATAATAGATGAAAACTTAATTTTGTTTCTTTGAAAATAATTAAATTTTTCATCAAAAGAGAAACATATGTATTGAAAAAGTCCAAAAGGAAAACATTTTTATAATATCAATATACACACATATATATTTCAATATGCAAAAAAAAACAAATTATCAAGTCTATTAAAAAAACTGTTCCTAATTAATTGCCTGTCTAATAATATATTAATCACTATCCACTCAATCTTTTCTTGGCAATATTTAGTAAACTATATCTTTTCGAACCACCATTATCAAACATACTGTTTCTTTTTGATGATCTATCACTATGTCCACCACTGCCGATTTCATTAGACTGGCTTTCATTATCAACCATGATAGGCAGCATTAGAGGTTTGAAACCAGTTTCTAACATCACAGGTTGAGGTTTATTCGGATTATCTAAAGTTTGTTTCAACAATACTGATTGTCTGTTAGATGTCAATTTTTTCTGTTTTGAAGAGATTGCAGGCTTGTTGAACGAGTGCAATCCTTTCCTTTTCTCTTGTTTGACTCGACACGAAACAATTAACGATATTATGAACAATATCATATTTATCCACGTAAATACTATACTTGATATCCAAGATTGGCACATCAAATGGAAATTGTATGAATCGTAAGCTCCACATTGCAAAATGTTACTATTTTTAAATACTGGATTAAGATTTGCCAATGCTGGGAGAAAACAACGATAATAAAGTTAGAAAAATGAATTAATTGAAATTGTGATTATGATGAAGTTTTTTTATAAAAAAGCTTACCAGCTGTTAGCCAAAATGTCGTTAATATTCTGCAAAATAAAATCAAATAAAAATTAAGAATTTTTTTTTCAAAAAAATTTCACGAAAATAACAATTAAAAAACATTAGAATTTACTGCTACTAACATATCCATCCAGAGAAAAGGTCCTTTTGTCCAGACTCTTTTGAAATTGTAAATATAAAATCCTATAAATTTCAACAAAACAAAACAAATTAATATTGATTAATAAATAATTGACAACACTTTCGATAATATTATTTATACACACCAAGTCCTATTGTGGTTATTACAAATACAAAGAAAACCCATATTTTTATTTGTGCATTCCACCTAAGGTTTACGAATTGTTTAGCATGACTTCTTTATAACAATAAATTCAAAATACATTTATTTGCTTACCCATCACTTTGTAACCATTCTTGATTTACAACGTTGTTATCAGAAAACTTTGTTAAATATGAATGCGCTGTAAGTTGTATTATCTCTATATAATAAATATAATAAATTAGCATATATATATATTGATGATGTAAAAAATAAAAAATACAAGTAAATTACATATTGTAAGTTTACCTAAACTTAAAATTATTATGGTCAGTAATAATTGAAAAATTTTAAAATTTCGAAATATAACTCGATGTTCACGTAAGATCCACATTGTATACGATAGATATTAATTTATATAATCTTTAATCTTATAATAATAACTTTTTTTTCAAAAATAATAATTAAATAATAGAAAGTCTTCTTCGAATAATTAAAATAAACAAAAACAAAATAAAAGGTTTGAAAAAATCAAATCAATAATAAAACAAATTCTAATTATTTGAAAACAATATTTCTATCATTCACTTTAAAAACTAAAAACTAAAAATAGTTATTATTACTTATTATTATTATTACTACTACTACTATGATTAAATATCTATCATATAATCACTTTTTCCCTTTAGCTATAGTATATATTTATGCTTAGCTTATTTAGATCAGAACAATCGCTTGTTTTTTTTCTTTGCTTTAAAATTTTGGTCTTTTAAGCAATAACTTGTCTTCAGGGAAAAAAAGCGATAAAGAAAAAAAACCGAAATATTCCGAAACTAACGTCTTTTTATATGAATCGTAAAACATTTTATATTATATCAAAAACACAATAATAATAATATAAATAATAATTAATAAAAATAAAAATAAAAATAATAAAAATAGCTTTTACGCATGATTACACTTGTTTTTACTAAAAAAAATTAAAAATTTTTTTTAATATAAACAATTGATAAAAAAGGCTTTGTTTCCTAAAAATTTAATCTATTATTTTTCCTTATTTATTTTAAATGCAAATTAATTAAACACAAAGTTACACGATAAATATCATTTCACATTATATGTAAATGAAAAATGAAAATCTGCATTTCACATTTGTAAAATCAACCAAGGAAATTGAATTTATTATTTTATTATGTATGGATTTCAATTTCAATATTAGTTAGTTCTTTAATTTTTTAATAGAATTTTGACAAAAATGTCAAATCAATGTTTTTGTCTATTTTTAAAAAAAATCATAAAAATAGAAACAAAATGGCTGGGATGTTTTTAGAGAAATTAAAAAATTCTTGTAGAATACTGGTTTTTCTTGCTAAAACATTTCTATTTATTATCATCATTATTGTCTGGGAGGCAAAAACGAACATGTCAATGACAGGTTTTAAAATCGATTTTGGTAATAATATGTCAAAAATTGTTAGTCCCTTTTTTTCTATATTTAAAATATCTTTTAGCAAACCTATATATAAAATATTAATAAGCATTTGTCTCACGTGAGATTTGTAACACGAGAGGTCATTTAATTTGGAAGTTCGGAACATAGACAAACCTTATAATGGACAATAATAATAACGATTTTTGGAAATTTGGAAAACCTTATATTAATCCAAAATAAAAAAAGACATTAAATAATGATCTGAATATTTGTAAAGTGAAACATTTATTTATTTTGAAATTAAGTCCCTATTACTATGTAGTGTTGAAAATTCGTTGATTTGATTAGTTAGTTATTTTCAACAGCATTGAATATGAATTTTAAACTGTTAAAATTGGGGCGGCTCCAAAAATTTAATTTTAAAGATGTCATTTTTTGATGCACCATCCACCCACCCCCAAAATACGTAATTTTTGACGCTTTTTTCTACAGCCTTTAACAGTTTAAATTTCGATGTTTTTACAATATACCCTCGGGACCAGAGGTTTTTGGTGATTATAACTAACGTGACTGTATAAAACTCCTCTTATTATGATTTCAAAAATTCGGTGAATAAAATATCGAATATTGTAAAAAGGTTTTGTCTTGTTGAAAAAAAATCATTTTCTATATTTTTATATTTCTTTAAATTTTTATAATCATTTTCATCAAACTCTGAATCATTTTGGCACTCAAAATATTTAATTAACGATCGACTGCTTCCAAAGCATCATCATTAGCCACAATAACTTTGGTTCATTATTTACTTGTTTGTTTCATCTAAAACGTTTGAAATTATTTCATCATCATCATTAATATATTCCAAAATGTCTAAATCATCATCAAGATTTGAGAGTGTGATTCAATTCTTTCATCAGTGTTAATTTGTTCAACCGTGCTTCTTTATTGGTAATTTGATAAAATTCCTGTTTTTTTTTTTCAACAATTAACAATTGTATTGTTTTAACAGCATCTCATGCTTTACCAATAAAATTAATTGCTTTTTTTACATATAAATTAATGATTTAAACTATAACAAAAAAAAACCAACTTTTCAAATTTGGCCAGTTCAAATTTTCTGGTAAGATCACTATATGATTGTTTGTAATTAACCTAAAATCTATTTGATCAAAGATTCTATTATTAATGATGCCAGCATCCATCCCTATAAAAAATTTGGTACGGAATTTGTACAGTAAAACAGTACATGAACCGTATTGTTTTACGGAATAGGTACGGAAAAATGTACGGGAATTTTCCTGTTAAATGCGCCGAAATGTACGGAATTTGTGTGGGATAGATACTGAGTAGGTACGGAATACGTACGAAACACGCACGGAATACACACGGTTTTTACGGAAAACATACGGAATTCGTTTTTTCCGTACGTTTTCCGCACGAATTTCACATTCGCACATCACGTAATTCATACGGGAAACGTACGAGAAAAACGGGTTCCGTATGTTTTCCGTAATAGTAAAAACCGTGTGTATTCCGTGCGTGTTTCGTACGCATTCCGCACCTACTCCGTATCTATCCCGCACAAATTCCGTACATTTCGGCGCATTTAACAGGAAGATTCCGTACATTTTTTCCGTACCTATTCCGTAAAACAATACGGTTCATGTACTGTTTTACCGTATGTTATTTTTTATAGGGCATAGGTTGTAAATGAGCAGTTGTAATTGATGGCAAAAAAGTAATTTTGATATTAGTTAAACGAAAATCATTATTTCACTAACTTTCTAGTTGTTCATCTAAACTTGAATCTGTATGGTGAGTGCATTATCATTTAAGGTAAATATATTTTTTTTTCTGCCAAATTGACTATCTAAATTCTTAATCAATCTTCAAAAGTATCATTGTGCATCCATGCCTTTGGAGTAGATTTGTAAATTGTAAGCAACAAAGACATATTTATTACATCTTGGGTTGATGGATTTTCCAATTACAAATAAACTTTTGTGTTACTAGTTGCATTAGTTGTCAATAATTTCCTTTGTTCTTTACTAAATTTTATAATTAGTTTTCATTAAGGATACCGGCTGCAACTTTTGATGATGGTTGCTACCACCTTTGCGTCATATAATGCACGCAGTTTTCGGAAAATGATTACTTTATACAATTTTAGATTGATTTTAGAAATGCAACCTTCGGCGATCTTCCATATACAAAAAAAATTTTTTATATAGCATAAAAGTATTATTCTGTAGAAATATACTAATACATCCGCTTAATAAATCCACTTATCTGCAGAATTAAAATCATTTTGTAAATCAACATCTATAGTTAAATGGACTTTACTATTCCTCTATTTCAAGGCAAATGCACGCAGTTTTCGGAAAATGATTACTTTATACAATTTTAGATTGATTTTAGAAATGCAACCTTCGGCGATCTTCCATATACAAAAAAAATTTTTTATATAGCATAAAAGTATTATTCTGTAGAAATATACTAATACATCCGCTTAATAAATCCACTTATCTGCAGAATTAAAATCATTTTGTAAATCAACATCTATAGTTAAATGGACTTTACTATTCCTCTATTTCAAGGCAAATTTAAAACAGAAACGGATAGAAAATAAATCGACCTGGACAATCGATGATTGAAGTCGAGTGCCCTTTTTCAATCTCCCTGTCCATTTGAAAATTACATAAAATTTGACGGTTCTATAACTTCTTGTATAAATTATTATCATTACAATTTTCAACATCGATTTTCGAATCGAGCAATATTTTAACTCGGAACTCTCCAGGTATGACTGTCGTATCCTCATCTATATTACTCGGAAAGATGCAATAAATACATGTCAATTTGATATCGCAGTAAATACTAATAACGTTTAAATGAGTTGGCTTCCGTATTTCTATTTGAATATTCGCCAATCATAAATATTGATGTCTCAAAAACAGACGCTATTGTATTTTAGTTTATAACTTTTTTAATTATGTGTATTAATTCTTTTCGAGAAAGTAAATCATTATATTAATAATTTATTTACGTGTAAAAATAATATTTATATATATTATAATTATAATTATATGATATGCTGTGAATTGAATGCAAAAAAATAAGTAAAAAACAAAAGAAACATCCGAATTTTTGTAATTATCAAAAGAAATAAATAATAGATGAAAACTTAATTTTGTTTCTTTGAAAATAATTAAATTTTTCATCAAAAGAGAAACATATGTATTGAAAAAGTCCAAAAGGAAAACATTTTTATAATATCAATATACACACATATATATTTCAATATGCAAAAAAAAACAAATTATCAAGTCTATTAAAAAAACTGTTCCTAATTAATTGCCTGTCTAATAATATATTAATCACTATCCACTCAATCTTTTCTTGGCAATATTTAGTAAACTATATCTTTTCGAACCACCATTATCAAACATACTGTTTCTTTTTGATGATCTATCACTATGTCCACCACTGCCGATTTCATTAGACTGGCTTTCATTATCAACCATGATAGGCAGCATTAGAGGTTTGAAACCAGTTTCTAACATCACAGGTTGAGGTTTATTCGGATTATCTAAAGTTTGTTTCAACAATACTGATTGTCTGTTAGATGTCAATTTTTTCTGTTTTGAAGAGATTGCAGGCTTGTTGAACGAGTGCAATCCTTTCCTTTTCTCTTGTTTGACTCGACACGAAACAATTAACGATATTATGAACAATATCATATTTATCCACGTAAATACTATACTTGATATCCAAGATTGGCACATCAAATGGAAATTGTATGAATCGTAAGCTCCACATTGCAAAATGTTACTATTTTTAAATACTGGATTAAGATTTGCCAATGCTGGGAGAAAACAACGATAATAAAGTTAGAAAAATGAATTAATTGAAATTGTGATTATGATGAAGTTTTTTTATAAAAAAGCTTACCAGCTGTTAGCCAAAATGTCGTTAATATTCTGCAAAATAAAATCAAATAAAAATTAAGAATTTTTTTTTCAAAAAAATTTCACGAAAATAACAATTAAAAAACATTAGAATTTACTGCTACTAACATATCCATCCAGAGAAAAGGTCCTTTTGTCCAGACTCTTTTGAAATTGTAAATATAAAATCCTATAAATTTCAACAAAACAAAACAAATTAATATTGATTAATAAATAATTGACAACACTTTCGATAATATTATTTATACACACCAAGTCCTATTGTGGTTATTACAAATACAAAGAAAACCCATATTTTTATTTGTGCATTCCACCTAAGGTTTACGAATTGTTTAGCATGACTTCTTTATAACAATAAATTCAAAATACATTTATTTGCTTACCCATCACTTTGTAACCATTCTTGATTTACAACGTTGTTATCAGAAAACTTTGTTAAATATGAATGCGCTGTAAGTTGTATTATCTCTATATAATAAATATAATAAATTAGCATATATATATATTGATGATGTAAAAAATAAAAAATACAAGTAAATTACATATTGTAAGTTTACCTAAACTTAAAATTATTATGGTCAGTAATAATTGAAAAATTTTAAAATTTCGAAATATAACTCGATGTTCACGTAAGATCCACATTGTATACGATAGATATTAATTTATATAATCTTTAATCTTATAATAATAACTTTTTTTTCAAAAATAATAATTAAATAATAGAAAGTCTTCTTCGAATAATTAAAATAAACAAAAACAAAATAAAAGGTTTGAAAAAATCAAATCAATAATAAAACAAATTCTAATTATTTGAAAACAATATTTCTATCATTCACTTTAAAAACTAAAAACTAAAAATAGTTATTATTACTTATTATTATTATTACTACTACTACTATGATTAAATATCTATCATATAATCACTTTTTCCCTTTAGCTATAGTATATATTTATGCTTAGCTTATTTAGATCAGAACAATCGCTTGTTTTTTTTCTTTGCTTTAAAATTTTGGTCTTTTAAGCAATAACTTGTCTTCAGGGAAAAAAAGCGATAAAGAAAAAAAACCGAAATATTCCGAAACTAACGTCTTTTTATATGAATCGTAAAACATTTTATATTATATCAAAAACACAATAATAATAATATAAATAATAATTAATAAAAATAAAAATAAAAATAATAAAAATAGCTTTTACGCATGATTACACTTGTTTTTACTAAAAAAAATTAAAAATTTTTTTTAATATAAACAATTGATAAAAAAGGCTTTGTTTCCTAAAAATTTAATCTATTATTTTTCCTTATTTATTTTAAATGCAAATTAATTAAACACAAAGTTACACGATAAATATCATTTCACATTATATGTAAATGAAAAATGAAAATCTGCATTTCACATTTGTAAAATCAACCAAGGAAATTGAATTTATTATTTTATTATGTATGGATTTCAATTTCAATATTAGTTAGTTCTTTAATTTTTTAATAGAATTTTGACAAAAATGTCAAATCAATGTTTTTGTCTATTTTTAAAAAAAATCATAAAAATAGAAACAAAATGGCTGGGATGTTTTTAGAGAAATTAAAAAATTCTTGTAGAATACTGGTTTTTCTTGCTAAAACATTTCTATTTATTATCATCATTATTGTCTGGGAGGCAAAAACGAACATGTCAATGACAGGTTTTAAAATCGATTTTGGTAATAATATGTCAAAAATTGTTAGTCCCTTTTTTTCTATATTTAAAATATCTTTTAGCAAACCTATATATAAAATATTAATAAGCATTTGTCTCACGTGAGATTTGTAACACGAGAGGTCATTTAATTTGGAAGTTCGGAACATAGACAAACCTTATAATGGACAATAATAATAACGATTTTTGGAAATTTGGAAAACCTTATATTAATCCAAAATAAAAAAAGACATTAAATAATGATCTGAATATTTGTAAAGTGAAACATTTATTTATTTTGAAATTAAGTCCCTATTACTATGTAGTGTTGAAAATTCGTTGATTTGATTAGTTAGTTATTTTCAACAGCATTGAATATGAATTTTAAACTGTTAAAATTGGGGCGGCTCCAAAAATTTAATTTTAAAGATGTCATTTTTTGATGCACCATCCACCCACCCCCAAAATACGTAATTTTTGACGCTTTTTTCTACAGCCTTTAACAGTTTAAATTTCGATGTTTTTACAATATACCCTCGGGACCAGAGGTTTTTGGTGATTATAACTAACGTGACTGTATAAAACTCCTCTTATTATGATTTCAAAAATTCGGTGAATAAAATATCGAATATTGTAAAAAGGTTTTGTCTTGTTGAAAAAAAATCATTTTCTATATTTTTATATTTCTTTAAATTTTTATAATCATTTTCATCAAACTCTGAATCATTTTGGCACTCAAAATATTTAATTAACGATCGACTGCTTCCAAAGCATCATCATTAGCCACAATAACTTTGGTTCATTATTTACTTGTTTGTTTCATCTAAAACGTTTGAAATTATTTCATCATCATCATTAATATATTCCAAAATGTCTAAATCATCATCAAGATTTGAGAGTGTGATTCAATTCTTTCATCAGTGTTAATTTGTTCAACCGTGCTTCTTTATTGGTAATTTGATAAAATTCCTGTTTTTTTTTTTCAACAATTAACAATTGTATTGTTTTAACAGCATCTCATGCTTTACCAATAAAATTAATTGCTTTTTTTACATATAAATTAATGATTTAAACTATAACAAAAAAAAACCAACTTTTCAAATTTGGCCAGTTCAAATTTTCTGGTAAGATCACTATATGATTGTTTGTAATTAACCTAAAATCTATTTGATCAAAGATTCTATTATTAATGATGCCAGCATCCATCCCTATAAAAAATTTGGTACGGAATTTGTACAGTAAAACAGTACATGAACCGTATTGTTTTACGGAATAGGTACGGAAAAATGTACGGGAATTTTCCTGTTAAATGCGCCGAAATGTACGGAATTTGTGTGGGATAGATACTGAGTAGGTACGGAATACGTACGAAACACGCACGGAATACACACGGTTTTTACGGAAAACATACGGAATTCGTTTTTTCCGTACGTTTTCCGCACGAATTTCACATTCGCACATCACGTAATTCATACGGGAAACGTACGAGAAAAACGGGTTCCGTATGTTTTCCGTAATAGTAAAAACCGTGTGTATTCCGTGCGTGTTTCGTACGCATTCCGCACCTACTCCGTATCTATCCCGCACAAATTCCGTACATTTCGGCGCATTTAACAGGAAGATTCCGTACATTTTTTCCGACTATTCCGTAAAACAATACGGTTCATGTATTGTTTTACCGTATGTTATTTTTTATAGGGCAGATGAGTAGGTTAATAAATATAAATATAGAAATATGAATAGGAATAATCTTTCATATGACACTGCACAATGTGCAGCGTAGCTGTTACAATAATATAGAAAGATGGTCGTTGGTTGTGATTATACATGCAGCCCAAATTGGTTTGGTGATTTTGATGGTCAAAATTATTCCAAATTTGATGGTAGAAAGTAGAAATTAATTACGGCATTCACTATTAAAAACATAATAATAAGTGTAACACCCCTTTACTACATGTGTAACCCCTTTATTACAGTGTCAAAATACTTTGGACTGCATGTATATTCGTGATGTAATAATATTTAGCACATCACATGACCTCCGTAGTAAATTTGTTCTGATTGGTCAATATTAACCGGGTAATTGATAGGTCCAAGATTTACTATTTCACAGTATAGTGCGGGTCACACTAACACATCAAATAAAAATTGACCAACTTTAAAACCTATAAAGAAAATATTATGTGCTTGTCTGAAAAAATTAGAGATGATATTTGATAGCTTTTGACTAGTTCTACAATCTATTGTCTAGATATTTTTAAAAAAATTATTGGTTCTGGAGTTATTAGCTTTTAAAAATCATGTGATTTTTATATGTTACATATAAAATTTTCCAAATTTGAAACATATAGTTTTGGCCCAACTTATGTTATACATGGCAAAATTTTCTAATTCCGGTCACAACATGTGACCTATAAAAATCGCGTAAATTTAAAATCACATAAATTAAAGTTTGTACATTCTTCAATAAATAATAAACCTTCATATTTTTTTATATATATACAAAGCAATGCCAAAACTTAAAAGAAAAATTAAATTATGTAAAGAACTTGCAGCTGCTAAGAAAATCAAAACATCAAATAAAAATAATTTAGTAAATATTGAAGCTTTCAATAATGATAATGATGTAGAGAATTTAGGTGTTGAGGAATTATCAAATAATGTGGTTGAAGGAGATTCAACTAATGAAGTTGGAGGATATTTAGAAATTGAAATTGATGAGGATTTTGAGTGGTTTGATAATGAAATTGAAAAAAATGCTGAGTCCCTTTATGATGTTTTGTCAAATAATATAGAAAATATGATATCATCATCATCATCATCATCATCTAATCACCCTTTGGTTTATTTAGGTAGTTCTAGAACAATTAAATACAGAAAAAAAATTGAAGCAAAGAAAGATGCTGAAAAAAATGGACAAACATTAGATAGTTTCTTTTCTTTTAATAATACAGTTGATGATGAAGTTAATCATGAAAAGGAAAATTACTCAAGCTTAGCTATAAACAAAATTGAATTAAAATTAAGTGCAGAAAATTTGTCTCCAGGATATAGAGTACATTTGAAAGCTGTTCAAAAATACCTTAGTTTAAGAAATAAAGGATATGCAAAAATTGAAGCCAGTGAAATAGTTTCTGATCTTATGAAGAAAGGCAAGTGGTTTTCAAGATGTATAAGAAGCTGGTCAAAGACTTTTTTAGAATATGGTGATGTTCCTAAATCTAGACATGGGCAACATTTAATTGGAAGCAGTATATTAGATGATGAGGATGTGAGATCCAAAATTATTTCATATTTAAGAATAAATAAGTTTGACATAACAAATTCTAAATTTTGTGATTATGTATCTGATGAGATCTTACCAATAATTGGAATTGAAAATAAAACAAGTATAAGGTAATATTTTTTATAAAATATTTTTATTTATAATTTATAATATAAAGTTAATTATATAAATGCTTGCTTACACTAGTGCCAGTACAGCAAAAAGATGGCTCAAAAAGATGGGATTTGTTTATTCTAAATTTGCAAAAGGAGTTTATGTTGATGGACATGAGTGTGAAGATGTTGTTGAATAAAATTTTTAGAAGTCATTGAAGGGTAATTTTAATTTTATT